TGCGTCCATCGTTACAGTAACCGTTTAATATCATTTATATTCCACTCCTGCAATTTGTTCAATACTGTGCATGTGATCCTGGATACATTCATGTTTCTCGAAGAATATGCCGCATCCATTCTTAAAATTAGTCCAATCTTTGTCTGGTGTTGCAGGTTGCTGGTGTCAACGAGGAGCATGGAGAATCGAGTCAAGGCGGCATTTTGGGCACCGAATCATTTATGACAGCGGTACGCTCGGATTATTTCGTCGACAAAACGAAACTGATTAAAGTACTTTTCGAACGCCGAAATGATGAGCATGTAGTTTTCCATGGACCGAAGCGATTCGGGAAGACGGTGAATATGGACATGATTCGGACCTTTATCGAAATAGAAACAGACGAGAATGGTTACATAGCCGACAGACTCAAACTTACGAAGCGCAATGTCTTTGAAAAACTTGCCATTGGGAACGATAAGAAAGTTTTTCAAGAGTACTTTGCTGCTTTTCCTGTAATTAAATTCTCATTCAATATAGCTCCTAGATCATACGATCATTTTATAAGACGATTTGCGCATATGATCTCAACAGAATACAGAAGACAAAAGAGGAATCACTTTTTCCATGGCTATGGCGTCGATAATCCTAAGTCAGCATACGCGAACAATACTCAACTTGCGAGGTTATTTGAGAAATACGCAATGGACCCTGACCAAGTACCCGAGTCCGAACTTTTAAACGCAGGAAATGCTTTGGCAAACTTGCTCTATGACATCTTCAATCGACCGGCAATTTTACTAATAGACGAATACGATGTGCCGATAAGGCTCGCACTCCTCAACCCGAATGTTGAAGACGATGATGCTAGTAAAATCATTGATTTTCTCGCCGAATTCTTGAAAAGCTTAGTAAAATCAGGTCACAAGCTTGTAGAGCGTTCACTGCTTACTGGCATCACCAGAGTAGGGAGCACATATACACATGAAATCAATAATCTAAATTTTTACCGAATATTTGATGATCCACATATTGCCCCTTACTATGGATTTACACGGGAAGAAGTCATACATCTTACCAAAAAATTTTCGGTTGAAGATAAGATTGACTTAATGACAGATTATTACGATGGGTTCAAAATAGATAAAGACTCATCAATGTTTTGCATGCAGTCGGTGCTTAAGTTTTTGGCTTCAGGAAAACTATGCTCATACTGGAATCCCTTCGATCATTATTTTGATTCTTTTTTCGAGTTTGAGCAAATGGGCTCCTATTTTGATGAAAATATTGATAAAGAAATTAGCTGTGTAATGAAAGAAAAAATAGAGAAAGATGATCTTCTCACGCTCAAAAAGTATATTAAGCGTGACAATTTTACAGAATACCGTTCTCCCACTTTCTACTTGATCTTACAAATACTGGTAGATGAAGGAGCATTTACAATTGTACGACGCGTCGGTCAAGAAAGGACTTTCATTAAAATCACAAACATTGAGATCAAACAACAACTCATACGTAAGATGTATACAACAAAATTTTATTTAAAAAAATTCAATACCCCTGAAGATTTACTTCAAAAGTACATAATAAGTGCCGCAAGTTTAAAAAACGACAACAGCAGCTTCATTCAATTTAAGAAGTCCATTAATGCGTTGCTAAACCTAATGAAACCATCAAAGGAAATCGGTATGCAAGAAGTTTTGTGCCAAGCACTACGGACAGAGTCAAAAAAAAGTCCCCTTTCTGAAATTGTTTATGTAGATTCAGGAGTTCGGGTGAAAAACGTCACTAGAAAACAAAGTAAATCTGAGAACCACGATAGTTCCAAAACAACAACGTCAATATTAGACTGCTTATACGTCTTGGACTACGGATCGGAAGAGACTGGTATAATACTGGAGCTGAAGTATAAACAGGAATCGTCAAGGCTAGCATTGACTCAAATTCTCGATCGACAATATTATAAAACATTCGACCAAGATTTAAAAAGAAGGAATGTCTTTAATATAAAAACAGAAGTTTTCATTGGAATTCATTATGATCCCACTGCTAATAAAACATCCCTAAGTTATCTGTGGAACGATCGAGATCTAAAGAAAGCTCAACACGTGTAGCTGGTGTGTACCGATAAGTATCCACGGTTCTATTTAAAAAGTTTTAATTTTTCTGGAGACCTGTAGTGTTTTGTTTTTGATAAAAATTTCAAGGAAGATCTCTAGATTGAAACAGTAGGGCAGATTTTCGAGTTCTTCTGTATTGACAGGTAAAATGGTGGGAGAGGCCCATACAGGGTGTTTCAGACCTCCCGTTCCAGGCCATTTTCTCGGTTGTTTTAGGTCGTACAAAGTCGGGGATCGCGGGGTTGTATAGGGAATTGACCCCAAGGAATCCGAATTTCGTGGTCCCAAAATCCCCTTACCCCCCCTTGGGGGATCACGATGCTGAAAGTCGCGGTTCCCGACCGAATTGCGGATTAATCGCATCAGAATTGAAAAGCACTAAAATTTCTCGTGAAATTGACCCCTAAAAATCCATAATCGGCCCATCCAAGGCCCAAAAACGATCTCCTAAAGAGGGGGCCAGTACCCCCTCCATAATTTCTCTTTGGTCTCAAAATTTACGTAGATTCTCCAGAAAAAGATGGTTTTGGAGGCAATCGACCCCGAGAAATCCAAATTTCATGGTCCCGAAGCTCCTCTTTTTCCCCTTGGGGTGTAAACGGGGGCCCAATTTTAAAAATCGGGGCTCCCTTTCCGAATCGCAAATTGATTGCATCCAAATTGAGGAGCAGAACACATTTACAACTTGAGTGACCCCCAAGAGTTCTAATTGACCCCCCTGAACGGCAGGAAGTAACCCCCTGAGGAGGAGGGCTTTGCCCCTCCAAAAATTTCTCAAGATTCCTCTTTGGTCGCAAAATTGACGTCAATTCCCCAGAAAAAAAACGGTTTTCCAGGTAATCGACCTCGAAGACTCTGAATTTCATGCTCCGTAAGCTCCGCCACCCGCCCCTTTGGGAAGAAACCCTCTTTTTCTGGAGAATCGACGTCAATTTTGCGATCAAAGAGGAATCTTGAGAAATTATTGGAGGAGCGAAGCCCCCCTCCTCAGGGGGTTACTTCCTGCCGTTCAGGGGGGTCAATTAGAACTCTTGGGGGTCACTCAAGTTGTAAATGTGTTCTGCTCCTCAATTTGGATGCAATCAATTTCCGATTCGGAAAGGAGCCCCGATTTTTAAAATTGGGCCCCCCGTTTAGCCCCCAAGGGGAAAAAGAGGAGCTTCGGGACCATGAAATTTGAATTTCTCGGGGTCGATTACCTCGGAAACCATCGTTTTCTGGAGAATCTACGTCAATTTTGAGACCAAAGAGAAAATATGGAGGGGGGTACTGTCGCCCTCTTTAGGGGGTCATTCTTGGGCCTTGAATAGGCCGATTATGGATTTTTAGGGGTCAATTTCACGAGAAAATTTCCGTGCTTTTCAATTCTGATGCGAATAATCCGCAATTCGGTCGGGAACCGTGACTTTCAGCATCGTGACCCCCCGCCCTGTAC